CCTGATGAGTTTGTAGGCAGCCACCAGGTCCCCCCTCAGCCTCCTCTTGCTGAGGCTGAACAGGTTCAGGTCCCTCAGTCTCTCCTCATAGGGCCTGTCCTGCTGCATGTCTGTTTTCCTTTTATTGGTGCTGACATGATATAGACTGATGTACTGGTGCATCTCTAGGGTTGAGCATTGCTGGACTAGAGCAGTAGTAATTTTAAGAGAATCTGCAAAGCAGTTAAGTTTAGTATAATCTATAGATGCAGTGGTACTTTGCAAAACTAGTAGAAATCAGCTATCTTGGGATCAGGGGAGGATTAACCCCCACCCCCAAACTTCAGCATTAGTTTTCGTTAATCTCAGTTGCCATAAAATGAATTCTCAGGGTGAAAGGGGATTCTCCAAAGCTTTAAAGATGCGTGCTTTTTCACTTTTTGAGACACCAATTTCCAGTTGTGCGAACTTGCTAGTGATCGTTAGTATACTGGATGTTTTGTGGTCTAGTCTTCTTTGCTATAGAAATATTAAAGGTAGATTTGCTGTTGACTTAAGTGGAAGTAGTGTTGGGCTTGGTAGATGTGGACACGTTGCTTATTTAGAAATGTGAAGGCCGTGTGAGAGAGAGAGTATTTTAATTAGCAAGGGTCCAGTGATTGAACCTTTCTCTGCCTCAGTTAATATATGCCTATTTTCTTCTGCTGAAGAACCAGGGTTCAAAGCTTGACACCGTATTAGGGATGTTAATTAGAGGATTTGCTTCATTAGCTACAGTTGCAACCACAAGCCCATTGTATTTCCTCCAAATATTCTAGTTTTTAATGCTTCCAGGATTAATTCCCACTGGTTGCTTGGATAGTCTTGTTTTTGGTACACAAGTTTATTACCTGGGCCCTACTTACTCCCATGGTTCTGGTTCTTTCAGTAAATTGATCTACGCAGATTGCATCACAATGTTTGAAACCTGGGTAGACGCTGTAAATTGCCTCCTACATAGACTGATGCCAGGAGCAGTGGGGTGTTGAAGATGTTGCTGCCTGAAAACTAGAAATGAGTCTGTCAGGGAGATGAAGGGGAGAGCTTGCCTACTCTATCCAGTGCCCCCAGACTGGTCTAGTAATCTACCACTTCAGCAGTTTTGGTGAGCTGTTGTGGGCTGGGTCAGCACCACAACTCTCCCAGCCCACAACAGCTTATCAAAACTCCCTAAATGGCCCCCCAGCCCAAATAACTGTCCACCTGTCTTGGAGCACATGTCTAACTCACTAACCTATTCTGCCTCCTGACTAATTTATTGGATTTTTACTTTATTACATCTGTTTTGGGAAGCGTAAAGTCAGGGAGATTTGATGGGTCAGGCTGCCTGGGCAGCAGTTCAGTAGCAGTGGCAACATTGGCAGCAGCAGTCAGAAGGAACCACTGCTGCTGGGGCTGCCAGGAAGCAAAGTCTGGCTGCAGCACTGCCCCTATCCCATTGCATGCCTGGGGGTGACAGGACTGGCTGCATGTGTCCCTTCCCCAGGCTGCCTCCCACGCCTGGGCTGGGTGAGGCTGAGGGACCTGGTACAGGCTGTAGAAAATCTTTTGGTGGGCTGTATTTTGCCTATACCTGCTCTAAAACTAGGAGCCCTGGTTTTCGGTGAGAAGTCTCCTCAGACTGTCATGACTTGATTGCTATACTGACAGTTGAGTGAAGGTAGATTGATTGTACCTGCCTGTATAAACGGGCTATTTTGAGAGCTTGTTAAGGGCTTTTCTACACAGGTAGGCTGTAATTATGTAAGGTAAGGTATAAACTTAGTGTTCTGGTTTTACCAGTATAACTCCCTGTATGGGCTATGGAAGAGGTCTAAGCTAAGGCAACAATCCACTCATTCTAGAGATTTTCGTGTGGGGAGTTTGCATTGATATCAATTTAACCATAATAGATTAATTAAACTGGTACAACTGTGAAGCTTCTCCAGTTTTGTCCAAAAAGATGGCACTTGTGGTAAAAGGTGGAGAGTCTTCACTGAGACTGGTAGGAGTGGAAGAGGCATACTGCAAAGTCAGCGTTCCTGCCAGTGAACATTCCCAGCCCAGATGAGCTTATGTCTGTGCATCTCCCTTGTTTCAGTGGAGTTGTGTACTGGACTCTGTCTCATCCTATGAGTGTTGTGTGTAGCTTGAGGTGCGCTTTGTCATCTCCTAGATGAGCTGCAGCCTTACTCTGTAACATTGCCTGCTGTTATGCCAAATGCTCAAACAGCTAGTTGCATTTTATAGCTGCTGCTTTCTTCCTCTCTTATAGGAACTAACCATAGTTGGGCAGGCTGATTTCAACAGTTTTATATAAAACTCAAATCAAGAATGCTTTACTCTTCCTCCAAAACTATATTAAGTACTTGATATCGGTACTAATTACATTTATTAATCCAGCTAATCTGTTTCTCTTTCAGTCAAAGGACAAAATGATGAGAGGGTCCCGCAGAGGCTGTGTGAGACTCAGGGTAAGTATTGTTTCATAGTTTTTAACATCATGCCATGGTCACTGTAGCCCCTTTTGGATAGGGCATGGAACTGGGGTTTTGAGATCTGTGACATATTCCTGATTCAGCCACTGGGCTGGCAAGTTACTTGACCCTCTCTGTTTCTACATCTGTAAAGTTTCTTGTTCATGAAAGGCAATATCTTGCTTTTACTGGGATCCTATGATTATCTTGCTGGGATCCTATGACCCCCAGCTGACTTCCTGCCCTTTGGGCGGGAGGCTGGACTCAGTGATCTTACGAGGTCCCTTCCAGCCCTAATGTCTATGAATAAAGCACTGCATAAGCAAGTAGGTTTGTGAGGTTGTAGGTGTGTTCTTGTACTGTAAATCACATTTTGGTTTTCACTTACATTTTTTTTTAATTGGCTATATGCCCCAACACTTGCTAAGCCTACAAAAAACTGATGCAGGGATGTTTTTTTTCTGATGTGTCCTGATGTCTGTAACAGTGCCACTTGATTTACTACCTCTGGTCAGTAACTGTGGTGTTAAATGTCTCAAACATCAAGTGCCAGGAACTACTGATTGGCATGAAAAGGAAGAGAAGTAGACAATGGTGAACAAAAAAGTGGGGGTGGAAGCAGGAGGAGCACACTAGGCAAAACCATAGAAATCTTGACTGATGAGGTGAAGTATGAACTGGGGACAGGGAAATGAAGGTGGCTGCGTTAGAGGAGTTTAGGGTGTCCATGAAGTGCTTGTGTTTTGAAGGACTTGCCTGGACAGAGAAGAAGCAGTGCTGAGGGGAGCCTTCTGAGTATCTATATCTCTGCAGGCACACTGAAAGTACTGCAAGGCGGAGACTTAACTAGTTGGATCATTATGCTCAATGAGCAGTTAATATCCAGCTGGGAGGAGGTGTTGAATGGAGCTTCCCAGTGCTCTATCTGGGTTCCAGTATTGTTCATCGTCTTCTTCCTAAATGATTTGGATGGTGGGATTGAGTGCTTGCTTAGCAGATTTGCAAATAACACCAACTTGGGTGGATTTGCAGACGCTTGGGAGCCTAGGGCTAGGATCCAGAATGATTTTTGGACCACTTTTCCAGTCAATCCAAGTCAATCTGGTGAAATTCAGTGAGAACAAGTGCAGAGTCCTGCACTTGTGACAAAATAATTGCATGCATAAATACAGGAGAATGATTGGCCAGGATGCAGTACTGCAGAGAAAGATCTGTGGGTTACAGCTGCATATGAGCCAAGAGTGTGCTCTTGTTGCCAAAAAACAGCTAATGGCATACTGGGCTGTATTAACAGGAGCATCACTTGCAAATCAGGGGAGCTGATATTTCCCACTCCATTTGGCACTGATGAGGCTTTACCCACCTGGAGTACTGTGTCCATTTTCTGGGCTCTGAACTTAAAGAAAGATGGGGGCAGATTAGAGTCTGGCAGTGACCAAGATTAGAGACAAGGGAAGCATGACTTATGAGGAAAGGCTGAAAGAACTAAGTGTTGTTTAGTTTGGAGAAGCAAAGAAAGAGGATTCATTGATTAATAGTCTGCAAATACATAAGGGTGGCCATAACAAGATAGACACCACAGACTGTTCTTGGTGGCTACAGGGACAAGACTAAGAGCAAGACTGACTGACTTGGCATAAACCAGGGTCCTGTAGATGAGGGAAGGCGGCCCCGATCACGTGCCAGGAAGCGGATCTGAGGCATTGAGTCTACCAGTGGCCCTGGGTCATATACCAAGGGCTGCTCTAAGTGGGCTGCGTTGCTTCATTTTGGAGATTTTGTGCACGCCTAGTGGGAGCGAACATGAAAAGTATGCTTCTTGGTTGCAGTCCTGTGCACAGAACATCTTTCAGCCCTGTTGGTTTTTCTAATTCTAATGTTTTTAAAAGGCATTATGCACTTGAACCTCTGCATCATCAGCCAAAACTTCATTTTTAAAAGTCCTCATTTTGAAATAACACGTGCCTGGAAGAGGAATTCCTTGGAAAAGCCATGTCTGCTAATTCTGTGTCCTTGGGGCAATCGTAGAACTGTCAATGAAGAGACCAGTTGCAGCAAAATTGGTCCCTTTTACAGAATATCATTAGTTCACCTCCAAAGAGCGCTAGCAGTTTTTGCTCCAACTCATGAACTTGTAGTATCAGCTGTTCTAAAATAATGTCTTTTATTATGCTTTTTTACCTTTTTTTTTTTTTTGCCCTCTGCCCCAAGGTTGCTCCTTTTAGAGTTTTCCTGAGTTGCCATATTAAAGCAGTGTATTAATATTTTTCTTTCCCCTTTCTTTGTCAGTCAAACTTCTGTCTTGACAAAAGGCCAGTGCTTCATGATGCCAGAGGAAGGCTTGAGCAAGGGGGAAGGGGAAGTAAATCTGTAGTTGAGTAATGTGAATAAAACCAAATGATTGCTGATGATATTATTTAATTTTTTTTAAATTACGCAAGATTTTTCTCTTTGGGTTTTACTTATTTGATTCTCAGTGAAGTAATTTTGCACTTGTTCCAGACCTTGGGACAAAGTCAAACTAGGTCCAAGTACAAGGCTCCAGGGGAACCCTGGCGGCAGTCAGCTTGTGGAGTTGGTGTGCTGGAGAGGTGTGTGTGTGTGTGTTGTCACACTTATTTCAGGCTTTCAGAATATTTATGGTACACACTTTGAACAGGCATATCTGATCCACAAATGAGAGATTAAGGGTTTTGTCTAGTAGGACACTTCACTAGACTTGTGCCATCCAGAGATTGACCTTGATTCCTACAGTAATGAGATAAAGCATCTTCTGTTCCATGGAAGACCTTAGCCTGAGTTCCCTGTCTGATGCTATCTTTCTCTATGGACAGGGAAATGGCTATGCATCTTCCTGCCTACTCTGGTTCCCAGAGTGTTATGCAAGGTGACACAACCTCATTCAGCTGATCCTGCTGCCTAAGGCATTTCTAGTCACTGAACCTACTTTTCCCATCCCTGTTGCAGAGGTTATGGAAAGCAGCTGTGTAGCTGCTGATCACTCAGGACTCCGAGTACCCAATTCCATGTGAACTGGGTACTGCTTGAAAAGTGCCCATGTGGAATGTGCGTACGAATGTGAACTTGGAGGAGAGAAAGAAGCTACTTACCATAGCAGCCAAAGTTCTTCAAAATGGGTGTTCACGTGTACATTCTGCTGCCCACTTTCTATTGCCTTTTCTCAGAATCCCAGACAATCTTATTTAAAGAAGAAAACAAGGCCTGGAAGAGCCCTAAGGAGGTCGTCTAGT